TTCTTGTGCTTTATCGTCTCGCAGGTTCTCATGGATCCTCAATATTACTGATATTATTATTATTATTATTATTATTATTATTATCATCCCCCATTCTTGTGGCTATTATCGTCATCATCTTCTTCATTTCTATTAGTGTAGTTGTTGCTGTGGACCTTTTGTCCACTCCCCCCCTCTCTTCTCTCCCTATCTCTCTCTTCTCTGTCTCTCTCTCTCTCCCTCTCTCTCTCTCTCTCCCATCCACCTAGAGTCGGGGACTGCCCTAGGTTTCTGCCTCTTAAAGTTAGTTTTTCCTTGCCGCTGTCTCCAAGGTCTTGCTCATGGTGGAACTGTTGGGTCTCTGTAAATAATGTTATAAGGAGTTCAGTCTGAGATGAATGGTGAATTGAATTGAATCAGGTTCAGTATGAGCACTGACTGTTGGTCTAATGGTGCTCATAAAACCTGGAACGGAACAGAAAACACCATTACTACATTAACGTACTGTGTATGGCTCAACCATCCAGCAGGTTTCTTACGGTCTGGATGGGAGGACGCTGAGCAGAGAGAGAGGGTGAGGGGGGAAGGGAACCGGCAAACAGACTGACCAAAACCAAAAGCCACCAAGCAAAGCTCAGTCACACTGAAAGGCTGAAAATACACTGAGTCATCACAGGCAGGAGTCCCGGAAGACGAGTCGTCATAATTGGATTGTTTGTCTTCAATCTCCAAAAATACAAATACACAAAAAATCAGGAAAAGAAACTTTGAATCAGGTTTTACTCAAATCAAAACATATTTCTGACTTCATGGGGTCAAAGGTCAACTACTTGAATGTGTAGAATCAAAATTCTTCAAAAGTACAAGCACATTGATTGGCTCATTTCAGATTCATCGTTTAAAATTATGTATTAAGCGTAGAGGCCATTGTGGCGCCGTACGTTCCCTCTTTTGGTGATAGTGCAGGTGTAAATGTGAACTTTAAAGTCAAACATGCTGATGCTGAAGAAAAGCCAGTGTGAGAGCCCATATCTCAAAATCTTCTTCAATAAGTTGTGAAAAGAAGTTCTGAGAAGCTCTGATGAGCTCTGATTTTGCTGATGAGGAAATAAAAGAGGAAACATTTCATGAGCAGGTGAACAGACGACGAGTCGGACAGACGAGAGGAGACGGACGGTGAACGTGGACATGGATCAGCTGTTGGTGCTGTTGCTGTTGCTGTGGAGCTCAGGTAGGACTCAGGTTTAAAGATGATGTGTTAAATATTTGTGTTGGATGTTGGAGGAACATACGAAGGCTTCATTTACACAAACAGATATCTCCATTTTCATTGATTTGAAATCAATCCAAGAGAGTGCCAATCAAACTGCTGTTGGTTGATTCATTTTAAGAATGGCTTTTATCTGTTGTTGTAAACTCTTCACACACACATACATACATCATATTAAAGCATCAAAGGAAGAAAAACAGGAAAACGCTGTAAAATCATTCACATTGAAGTTTGAATTCTTCAGATTTTCATCAGATCAAACCCAGTTTTTGATTCTATTTGTACTCAATTATTAGTTTTTATTTAACATCTGTCAATGTATTTATATTCAGTAATTGTGTCTCTGCGCAGTATTCTCCACTGTTAGCAGCAGAGTCCACCTTTGACTCAGACTCATGACAGACTGACAGGAATCGATCCATCATGTAATCAGATTCACTGTTTCCTCTTCACTCTCCTGCAGCCGTATCAGATCATTTCCTGCTGCTCCTTCACAATAAAACACTTCAACTGGATAAAAAGAGGGAAGCTTTTATTGTGAAGCAGTCACAGGAAACACACTGTATTTGTCAGAGTCACTTTCCTTCAATCGAAGCTTTCTGACTCCACGGGGGTCAAAGGTCAACTTCACTAAATCATCAGAACTAATAAATATCAGGCAACTATCCAGTGAACTCTTCCAGCCTCCAACACAATGAATGACAGACAAACGGCTCACATGTGGTTTGGATCACCATGGCAACACACTGCTCAGAACCATCAGATATTGATCTGTTGATTGGCGGCCAGATAGAGCGATCGGTTGGTGTTTGCGCTTAAACAGTGGGCGGGACAGTTTATCAGTGTGACAGCATTTCAGCTGTCTTCTTACATTTCATGTCTGACATTTTATACACCTAGGGCCCTAAAGAAAGGAAGTTATCTGTGCTGATCCTTCTGATCAAATGAATGAATGAATGAATGAATGAATTAGCCAAAGGCAACAGGAACTTTCCAGGTGAACAATATGATCTTGTCTGCTGCTGTTAATGTGATTTAAATAAATGTTTGCAGTGTTGTGTGATAGGAAGTGCAGAAAGGTCAGCCAGGAGTGAGATGGTTGGATAGACGGGGGCTGAGGTTGAGGAATCATCTGTCTGCTAACTTATGTTCTGTGTATTCACATGTTCATCTCACCTGTAGTCAACTGGTAAACTGACTGTGTCAGTGTCCTCCAATCAGAATGCTGATGTTTATTTCCTGGTTTTCTCCTCAGGACAGCAGACTGAAGGAAAAAACAACTCAACAGGTAAATATAGAAAGAACAGAGACACAAAGAATCAAGTTTTACTTTCTGCCGAGGTCTCTTGAGCAAGGCACTGAAGCCCTAACTGCTTGGAGCAGCGACTGTGTGGCAGCCTCATCACTCTGACATCTGTCCACTAATGCATGTGTCCAGGTCCTGTGTGTGCATCAGTGGCTGCTGACTCAAACATTGTGGAGGAC